CATGGTAGGCATTTAATGAAAATTTTATAAATCACATGTATAATATTAATAAATTTCCAACATTTTGGGGTAGTATTTGTCAGAATATAATAATTATAAATATTTTTACTTTAATTAAACATCGTTGGGATCAATTGGGACACCCTTTACTATATAAAATGCTTCATAATTAATTAATAAATTATACAATTAGCTGCTAAGTTTATAAAACAATATATTGTTTTAAATGTATTAATTAAAAATTATTATAATTAATAATACAATTGTATATAATTTATAAGCAAGTGTTATCAGATTTATATTATAATTGAAGTTTTTAATTAAATTGAAAATAAATAAAGAATTGAGAAAATGGTCTCAGAAATAATGCCTAAATTCCCAAATTGTTTAATGAATAAACGAAATGTAAACAAAAATAATACAAAAGTATACACAAAAGGAAACACTTATTTAAATAAAAACAATGCATAAGAATTGGTTCTTAACATGAATTGTGTTGAAAATCTTAATTTAAAACTCAATGAATAACAAAGAATTCATTTAATGTACAAAACTTGAGATAATATTCGTTAGGAATAGTGACTCATTGCAGGAATGTGTGCAGAATTTTCAAGTGTTATCCGTAAACCAAATGAGTCTTTAGATATGACATCCCTGTGAGCACTGCCCCACATATACTGGTAATTGATTACCACAATGTGTCAGCAAATATATTGCACCGGTAGGTTAATATCAAACTTAACAATGAAAATTTGATTTTGTAATATTGCTAGCTACTGTTGTAAATAAAATGGCATTTTAAATATATTATACTCTGTATAACCGTATATTATAATATAATATAATATTATTATGCCACGGTTTTACAAGAATTAAAATAACATTTAAACAGTTATTTTAGCAAGACAAAACAATAATGTATGTCATAAGTTATGACTCTAAAGAATATTCTGTTAGATAGAAATACATAGATTTATTAATACATTTAAAAGTAAGTTGTGTATGTCTATCTCGTAAAATCTTATATCAAAAATGTTTTACTAAATAAAAATAAATGTAAATGAAACTTAAAGATACTTACTTTTACACTCTTTATATTGCTCTTTACTTTACAACAAATTTTTATTCAAGTAAAGTTTATTGAAAGTGAAACTTAAACCAACGCTTTCATAAATATTACATAAACCATATCAAAATAAGTGACACTAATATTTGGAGAGAGAGAGGGAGGGAGAGAGAGAGAGAGACCATACTTAACGGTGAGGATTGTGTTTAAACTGACAATTGTTGTGAAAAATACAGTAAAGTTAAGGCTTAAGTTGGGCTTAAAATCTTTGTGAGTATTGATCTTGAGTTTCCCAAGTTTCGCAAGTTTATCAAGTGTACAGAATTGTCTACAATAATTGTAGAAATTATTTCTACACAAAATATTCCTGTATACAATAAAGTACTGTATCTTATTTATAAATTATAAAATTTATTAAACAAATCTTACGTGCAATAAAACAATATTTTATAATAATTTATATCAAACAGATATACATATTATAATTTGTATAGTTTTAAACTTAAAATTAATCAAATAATGTAAGGTATCCACGACTGACCACTAGAATACATGTATTGATAACATTATGCAAAATACAAATAATATTCAAAGTGAGCGCAACACATAAAACCGGTTTTAATATCAATACACAAACCACAAGCAAAATATAAGTGAAAACTGGTGGACAGACACCAAACACACCAATCATTCACTCATTCATTGAGACAACAAAACTCATACACTATTTGT